ATAAAAAAATCCGGTCCACATCAATCCGATCCGCTACTTAAAAATATGAAAAAAAATTAAAACAACAGACACAGATGAAAGCGTCAAACCCCCAAATTTTTTAATACATTTCAATTTGCTTTTGCGAGCTGTCTGCCACTTTTAAAATTTTGCTTTTTGCTTTTGCCTTTTTCATTTTGGTTTGCTTTTTTTTTTTTTTTGATTTGCTACTTTGCCATTCACGATCTCCAGTCCAGTCCTCCATTCGCGATCTCGGATCTCCTTCAAGTCTTCACTCTTCAAGTCCTCTTCAATCAGTCTAGTCCTCCGTTTGCGATCTCTTTCAAGCTTCAGCTTTCAGCCTTAAGTCTTCAAAAATGCAGAAGAAGAAAAGAGAAGAGGAGGTGAGAAAAGAGAAGAAGAAAGAGAAGAGGAGGTGATAAAAGAGGAGAATATGAAAGAAGTAAAGAAGAAAGAGAAGAGACGGCGAGAGAGAGGAAAAAGAAAAAGATAAGTAGAGAAGAAGAAAGGAAAGATGAGGTGACGGGTGAGAAGAAGAAAGAGAAGAAGATGAAGTGACATTTTGAAAATATATAATATAAAGAAGAAAGAGATGACGGAAAGAAGGAGAGTGGCAAAAAAATGAAGGAGAAAAGAAGAAAGAGAAAGACGAAATTACATGTTGGGAAATAAATATTAAAATATAATATTTGATGATATCATCTGACAGTCCAGCTGTCAGACCGGTTGGACCGTTCAGATCGGAAACCGGTCAATTGACCGAATCACCTTCTGGTCCGATTTCGGAACATTGCTTTGTAACTCAAGACATTTTCCATTGCAGTTTTTCCGTGTGAATAATTATGACCAAGTATGAACAAATATGGAGTAAAATTTATTTTCTTTTGAGTTGGGAGTCTTGAGTTACATTTTTGGATGGAGAGTTCGGACGTGATTGAGCGAGAGGGAGTCGCATGGGATGTGGAGAAGACTATATTTGTTGCAGTGGGGAAGAATGTTGAGAAGAGTAAAACGATCAGAGCTTTTTCGGGAAGAAGATTTGCTTGCTTCATGTTCACAAGCCTGCTAGTGTTGTTGCACTGGGTGAATTGTCGTTTAATCCTCTGTCTGGTTTGCGAATTTTATAAGCTAGATGATTGTATTACTCATTTTGTTTTATTTAAAAGGAACAAATGAAGAATATTAATTTCTTTCGGAAAAGAAAAAATGAATCGACTTTCTATTTTCGAATTAGATCTTATACAAACTTTGATCATATTCTAAGTTTTAGAATTTTTGCACACTACAAATAGTCATTGCTGATATGGTAGACATAAGCCTTTTGTGAAAGCAAATATACCTTGTAAACAGGTCCAAAACCACCCTCTCCAAGTTTAGTTTCAGATGAGAAATATCTGTAGCTAGCATAATGGATGACACTTTAATACTTTCAAATTGGCGCCTTTCTTTCCATCGATCTCAAGCTCCTTTGCTTCACTCATTAAGTCAAACATAAACTTTGCTGTTTGGAAATTGAAAAGAAAAAGTTTGATCAGCTTGGCATTCAATAAAATATTAATCATATTTATTTGCTCTTCATTCCATATATATATGGTTATTTGTTGCATATATTACCTTCTAGTCGAAATGTTCTCCATCTAATGAAGAAAAGATACCCACGACGAGTATAACGATTGATCCAACCACTATAGCAAGTGAAATCCCCGTCCATTTCAATATCTCAGGAGCTGCAGCACCTAATAGTGAAATCATTTACACATATAAAAATATTGCCTTCATCTGCTTCTTTGACAATTTTTTTTCCAATAAGTTTGTACGTATAAGATACTGAAATATAATTATAATATTTTTTCATTGAGCTCTCATCAAACTAAATTATTTTACCTAGGCGTTTAATCTATCTACAATAATTTACTATTTAGAAAATTTTATCTTATCAGAGGGTTTTTTATACTTGGTAATATTTTTAAGAATTTTAAGGAGGTTTATAATCTCAAGAGGATTTATAGTACCAAATTATATGTGAAATCGAATAATATATATTTATAAATAATCTTTATCCTAGGAACTACTAAATAAACTGCTTGAGCTATTAATGTCAAAACACATACACTAAATCTAAAATGAAAACAAGGGAGAGTTAATTCATTTAAGCGGATGAGTACTGGAATTGGAATTCATGAGAAATAACCCTCCATTTCAACAGACGAATATCCTTTTTACAAAATAATAATAAATATAATTAATAATAATAATTCTCACAAAAAAATTCTGTTTGAAATATTAATAATAGTCCATGCTAAACTGAAGACATAGTATTTGACTAAAAACACTAAACAGAGGTAGAGTCTGACGAATAAAACTCAACAAACAAACAAAATCCTTATAGTGAGGACTTGTTTATTTGATTTTAGGTTGTTGTTTTTCAAGTGAACACACAGTAGAAGATATACTTTTTTTAATATTTATGCTTATTTTATTTTAGGAAACCAAGCAGTTGCGGTGGCGGAGCAAAGAAATTTCACCGGTGGGCCTAAAGCGAAGGTAAAAAACCATAAAAAAGCGTTCCACTTCTACAGCTGTGTATACTATTCAATATTCAAATGCAAATCGTCAAACCTGTCAGCTTTTTCTTGTCCGGAATTGAAGGAAGCGAAGAGAGATCAAGAGCTCCAGCTTGTCCATTGATTTTAAAACTCCAGCCTAAAATATATGAGAACCAGTAACAAAACCTGTTGAAGAAGAGAAGCCAATATACATGAACTCATGAAAGATTGGTGAAAGATTGACGTTAAAAGACAAGAGGGGCAATCTTGGTTGGAAGAATTTGGAGAGATGGTACATTTAACAAATTTTCAGATGCATCGTAATCGATCCAAGCCGGATTGGTTTTCCACTCAGAGATTCAAGTTTTTTTTGGTTGAACTGTCATCGAAGTGCTGCAGCTGAAGACGCATTAGAGATCAAGCTGTTGATGTTAATGCCAACGTGGTTGTCGTCGATGTCGTAAAACCAGGACTTTGAACTGTATCAAATTCAACGGCAAATAAATGATTTGAAGCGATTCCGTTATTGCTTATATTAAAGAGGCTCGGTACTGAGTTGGAAAACCTCTGAGCTCTTTAGATGGCGAGATGGTGAAGGCCATGCCATGGCACAAAATTTTGGGTAGGGAGAGACGATACCTAGAGCAAATGAGGAAGAAAGAAAAACTTCTCCATTTGTCGAGTTCTTGAAATGGATTGGCAAGCTATAGAAGGTTGACCTTGTAAAAGCTCACTGTTGTTGTTAAGCGAAGAATGCCATCATTCTCAATTTTTGCAGCTTGACTTAAGGTTAGGTTGGTGCTCAAATCTTTGAACCCTGGAAAAAAGAGTTCATTGTCATTGAGTTGGGATGATACCGGAATGGAGATAAAGAGGATAGCAGAGAAATATGCTAGAAAACTGGCCATGATAGGCAAAAGCGAAAAGAACCGGGTTGCATGAATCAAAAACTGTATAAGTATTTAAAGAGTTTAAATGGTTTCGTGAGATTGGAAGAAAGTGAAAAGTATTTTCGGGGTATTTGTTTCTGGGACTATTATCCCACAACTTACTTGAGGTTCTAGTTTAAGTCACTTCTCTCCACATTTGAAGAATTATATATATTCTCTCAATGTTATTTGTAAGTTGTCATTAGTTCATAGATAACACTTCATATCCTTTGGGCCCTGATTGTTTAAACTGAAAACTTAAGGGATGTGTGGGATAATAGTCATCGTTTCTTTTAACAGGATGGAAGGAATCAAGGAACATACAGAGAAACATACATCCTGTGAGTGCAGTATAATGCCGCGTGAAGCGTGCAGCATAAGGAACTTTTTTTTTTCAAACAATGTAGCGATTTCAAATGGAATTGTCACTTTAAAATATGTGTGTGATTGGATTTGGATGTAACTTGAGACCACTTCAGGTAATGTTTACTATATATATTTAACTCAGTCAATCGTTGACCATTGTATATATTAATGACACCATCAATAGCTGTACACCATAATACGGGGATGTCCAAATAACTGGTATTAATAATAAATGCTTTATTATGAAAAAAAAAAAAATCTTTAACATAAATATATGTTGTTATCGTTTACTTGACTGGACATTAACTAAGGTAAATTAAGGAGCTTCATCAAATAGTGCCTTTGTTTGAAATTGAAAAGTTTGAATACTACAGATGATTATTTTTTATATATATTTATACCATTTTCAATCAATCCCCCCTAACGTGCAACATATTTATTAAAATTTATACACATAATCAATACCTTTACCTTCTACATATCTATTTTATACCATTTTCAATCAATCACCCCACTATGTTCCCATCGTTTTCGTGCATTATTTTTAGGGGGAACTACTTACACATATCCAAAGTTTGCTATAAAGACAAAGTGGCACCCAAAAGGTTTGGAAATGACAAACATTCACTTTTTGTCATGTTCGGTTAAATTTCTATCTGTTAAGAGACAAAAATTGTGAAAAGACTGGAATACCCACCGATCTCCATTTCCAATGCGCCTACAAGGGCCAGTGCCACGTTTATCACCAAACTTCGCAGGAAAATGCTAAATCAAGTCAAAAAATTGATCGATGACACAAGAGGGCTGTGGAAACGGGCTTAGGGTGAGAATGAAATTACTATACTGTCTTTTAGCAAACAGAAATCCCTAACAAAATATGACAGAAAGTATTTGTTTATCATTCACAAACCTTTTGGGTATCAGTCTGTCTTATGCCAAACTTTGGGTAAGTGGAAGTTGTTCGGCCTTATTTTTATTTACAGTCAAATGCCGTGGCTCTGCATCCAACCCTTAACCTTCACTAATTCCTCCATTTCTATATCTTTTAGCATTATTCAAACCCAAACTTCTTCAAATACAATCCAACCACAAAATGAACCTTAAATAAACATTTTACGTGACCCTAACTTTCATCAATGTAACGAAACTTCACTCACGAAAAGTCCAGTCCATGATGTTCTCTTTCACTTTCCTTAAAGCCAACCCCTTTGACTTGATTTCGGTTGCATGACGAAAGAGATAAGATGAGAGTTACGGAGGGAATGGAAAGGATTAGATAAGATAAGAGAGTTTGTTCTGTTTTAGGATTATCTGGGTTTTATATGAAAGGCATTTTTTTTTTTTTGAATATATAGGTGAGACACTTCCATGAACAAGTTATTTTTCAATTTACACCCAACAAGGGGTTATTTAATAATTCCCTTTAAAAAAAAGCGCGACTACTACAAATTTGTTAACTTAAAAAAAGATGGATTAGTATTGAACCCCATCAAATAAAAATTTCAAACTTCCACTTTCCTAATTCAATTAAAAAAAAAAAAAATTCCATTACAATATCTTAAAATCATTATGTTATACTATTAGAGATTAGTAACTTAATTATCTTAAATAGAAGGTTAAAGTTGTCGGGGTGCTACATATATTTATCTAATTTATGTTTTTTCATTAATATTAAATCAGACATCTCAAGTTTAATAAGATATATGAGAAGATTTCAATTCATTCCCCCTAATAATTCAAATAACTTCTAGATTATATTGTTTATACTATTTTTTTATTTAGAGTAAGCGAATATTTCCCACCCAATAATGATTTAATGACACTTTCCTATTTACAGACTTTAAAATACCACTTTACTATCCAAATTTATATTATGTTTTCAATTCAGAGATCGTTGCAATCCCACACCTACATTCTCTTTCCAATTATCATTCACAATAACCCTTCAAACCCTAGTCCTATCGATCCTGCCAATCATCAACAATTAAGTGATTAGGGTTTGCGCAACCGCCTCTCCGAAGTCAAATTTTGATAAATCCCAACAACCAAAATCAACACTCTACTACTAAAAGACTCATCCCCTCCCTCTTCAAAAGCTCCATAGCTTGGATCTAGTTTGCTCTTGTTAGCTGCCAAAATATAAATTTGGGTAGTAAAGTGGTACTTTAAAATCCGTGAGTGAGAAAATGTCATTCAGCTATTATTTGGTTGGAAAGAGTCGTTAACTCTTTTTATTAATTAGTTAAAATTGGTTGTCCTAATATTATTTGTTTGTTGATGCGTGATTTGACACTAACCAAACGCACGTGTGAAATGCTGAGCTGACCCAGAAGACACATGTGGATAAAGAATGAGAGTAAAGAAATGATTAGACAATGTTTTAAAGTGGTTTGGATGCTTAAGGAAGCAAGTCCTACGTCCACTGATGTTGTATTAATGATAGCGGTCAGGTCGCGTTTCGCGAGCTGATTTTACAAATGATTACAAGGAAGAGTAAGAGAGAGAGTAGGCAATTTTAGAGAGATTAGCTAATCCCCAAAATTGAGAGAGGAACCCTCAATTTATAGTGGGATAGATTAGGGTTATGATTAGGTAGGATTTCCATACAAATCTTCCTTTATGTCCCATTGCCTATCTTCCAGAGCGATTTACGCGATTTGATGCAAGAATTGGACACGTGGAAGCTCTCTAGCTTCTGGTTGGCCTAGCGCGCACCCCTGCACTGACAGAAGCGTGCTGCTTCTTTCATCACGTGACTCGGTTGCAGGTGTACCCAAGTTCTGCTTTTTCATATTGACCTGGCCTTACGTCAACCCTGCTTTCTTCAGTCATAACATTGTTGTACTATTTTTATTGCATAACTAATTTTTATCTTAAGCATGTGTATAAAGATATGATTAAGCAATAAAACTTATGAAAAATAGAAATATTAGTTCAATCTCAGAAAACTTTCGATAATGAATAATCAATGAAAAACCAACATTTTTGTCATTCTTGATTTTCTAAAATTTAACTTATAAACAGGTCCAAACAACTTTTCTCCGAATTTATTTTCAGATGAGAAACTATTTGTGGTGTCCATGATGGATGAAACACTATATACTTTTAAATGAATTTTTTTGCTTCACTCATTAAGTCCAGTTGGAACTTCCCTGTTTCAATTAACATGAGAAAGTTGAGCTTTGCATTCAATAAATAACAATAATATAACTTAGTGGACATGTTCTGACGAGTTTAGGGTTATGCTGTCCCTAGTAATCTTTTCAGAGATCAACCGTAGTTTTCTTCTATCAATACCAAGTTCCTTTTGGATTGACCTGAATGTAGATTGATACTGTTGACAATCCAGTTATTAGATGCACAATTAGTAGAGATAGTATTAATGACACCATCAATAGCTGTGCACTACGGCCCCATAATACGGGGATGTCCAAAAACAAGTATTAACAATAAATGCTTTAATTAATTAAAAAGGAATCTTTACACACACACACCATAGCTGCGCACTACGGCCCTAATACGGGGATGTCCAAATAACAAGTATCAACAATAAATGCTTATTAATTATAAAAAAGAATCTTTAACATATTATATATTGTTATTGTTATTGTTTACTTGACTTTGAATTAACTCAGGTCAAATTAAGGAGCTTTATCAAATAATCCTTTGTTTGAAATTGAGAAGTTCGAATACTTCATGATTTTTTTTTTTAATATTTTTTATACCATTTTTAATCAATCACCCTGACGTGTGACATATTTATTAAAATTTATACCATAATCATACTTTACCTTCTAACATATTAAATAAATGACAATTGACTTAAAAACAAAAAAAAATAGATAAATGTTTAGTGATTCTCA